AATAAATACAGACTACTTCTATTATGTCAATTCAAAATGTTTTTTTTTTAATGAAAGTACTTTAAAGTAATTGAAGAAGATAGACTCATATCTAAACATGATGCTGTTTTTGCTCCATTCAAATTGAACGCTTTTTCTGATCGACCTGCTGGGTATGGCTGCTAGTCAATAATATATTTACTTTTATTTGCAGATGTTTGACCTTCTCTTCAATGAAGGACCTCACCATATTGCGATAAGAATGGCCAGATTTACAAAGAACAACTGCACTTTTCATGCGAAAAACAGTTGAGGACAAGTTAAATTGATCATAAATTGTTTTTAAAGATGATAATGAAAATAAAATGACACCGATTTTTGCATTATACGTGTATTGTCACGAACTGTAGTTTTCATGTTTGGCTCATATAGATATCCTTACAGACAAAACGTATCGACCAAGTAATGAATATTGGCTTGGAACGTCGAATCGGAGAACCGAGTTCAAATTCAAGTCGGGTTCATTACATTCGCATAAATATTATTGGGAAATGTATGAATCCATCTTTTCTTTCCACACCCAGCTTTGAGTTGAATAGCAGAGCAGACGATTTTTCAAGTAGTCGACCCCATAACGAAACGGCAGCCTCCTGCGGAAAGTAGTTCTGCCTAGTCAGTTATCAATCGAAAGAGATTTGATCGCCTAAGCGTGTATCACGTACGGCACTAAATTGACTGACTTTTCATTATCAGTAGTGGCATGCAATTGGTTGAACTAGCAGGACTGACTGGATACAATAGCCTTGATTGCCAACCAGTCTACCGCAGAAAGAAACGGCAATCTACTGCGGGAAAATTATCTATCTAGTCAATCATAGATCGAAAGAGACATGATCGCCCAGGTGACTATCACGTACGGCACTAAACTGACTGACTTTTCATTATTCGCAGTGGCATGAAATGTGTTGAAATAGCGGGACAGACTGGGTCTTATAAGCCTTGGTTGGCGACCAGTCTATTGTAGAAAGAAACGGCACTCCTACCGCGGGAATATCTTCTGCTTAGTCAGTCATGAAACGAAAGAAGATGAGATCGACCAGGCCTGTGTCACGTGAGGCCTTTTTACTGACTGTCTGTCTCCCTAGTCATCACCAGAGGTTCATCGATTAGCTGGTATAGTCATTTTCTAAGCGTAGCTTATGTATGGCACAAGGCCGAATGTAAGGAACACCCATTAAGGATTGAACTCACTGTTCAGTCGTAATTGATCTAGCTACATGACCATTACACCACGGCGAGTTGGTCCATGTCTTATCAGTTTTGGTTTGTCTCTGCTGAATCCAAGAATTGAACTCATGACCACTAGATGACTACCACACATGTATAACTATTTAGTAATAGAATGAGTTGATTATACATTATTTTCATCAAACCTGATGATTTTATTAAAACCCTTTCTTCTCGTTCTTATTTATCTGGCAAAAAAATGGAAAGTACTTATTGTATAATAAGAACATTAAGAAGTTAACGCTATAACTAGTTTTTCCTTCTCCTAGACTAGTTGCCTCTGTCGGCTATAGGATCGAAAATGACTTGCTATCTACCCACAACTGGTGGGAATCCATACCTTTCTTGCTATTTACCCACAACTGTTAGGATTCCATATCTTTCTTGCTATTTACCCACAACTGGTGGGAATCCATACCTTTCTTGCTATTTACCCACAACTGTTAGGATTCCATATCTTTCTTGCTATTTACCCACAACTGGTGGGAATCCATACCTTTCTTGCTATTTACCCACAACTGTTAGGATTCCATATCTTTCTTGCTATTTCTTGGTATTTACCTTGCTATTTACCCACAGCTGGTGGGAATCCATACCTTTCTTGCTATTTACCCACAACTGTTAGGATTTCATACCTTTCTTGCTATTTACCCACAACTGGCGTGGATCCACGCCTTTCTTGCTATTTACCCACAACTGGTGGGAATCCATACCTTTCTTGCTATCTACCCACAACTCGTGGGAATCCATACCTTTCTTGCTATTTACCCACAACTGGCGGGGAATCCATACCTTTCTTTTCACAACTGGCGGGGATCCACACCTTTCAATAAACTCGACTGGTGGAATCCATACCTTTCTTGCTATTTACCCACAACTGGCGGGGATCCATACCTTTTCACGTAAATGAATGCAATAAACTCGACTGGAATATCGAACTTGGCTTTCCGATTCCTCAATCCGAGCCGCTATCCATTTGTCCACCGTAAGAATCCGTTGAAGTTTTTCTGTCATTCTGATAATTTTTTCACTTTTTTTTCATTTTTTTTCTTCCGACTGCTTTCCAACTTCATATTCAAAGCAGTTCCAATTTCTTTCTTTTCATTATATTTGCTTTTTTTTTTATTTTTCTTTTCTTTTCTTTATTTTCATTTCATTTACTTTCTATTCGTTCCGTTTCTTTTCATTTCATTTCATTTCTCTTCATTTCTTTTCATTTCATTTCTTTTCTTTTTGTTTATTTTCATTTCATTTCTTTTCATTTTTCATTCCTTTTCTTTTCATTTCTTTTCATTTCACTTCTTGTTCCTTCACATTTCATTTCTGCTGTTTCTTTCATTTCATTTCTTTTTATTACATTTCCTTTCATTTCATTTCTTTTCATTTCATTCCTTTTCATTTCTTTTCTTGTCGTCCCTTCACATTTCATTTCTGTTGTTTCTTTCATTTCATTTCTCTTCATTTCATTTCATTTCTTTTCATTACTTTACTTTTCATTTAATTTAATTTCCTTTTTTTTCTTTTTTTTATTTTCATTTCCTTTTTTTTCTTAACATTTTTTTTCATTTTTTTAGCAACGTTTCTTTTATGGTGCGAGCGGCGTAACGGTTCTTAACGTGTAATGTTCGATCGGCGTCCTGAGTTCAAATTCTAACCGCGTCTGTTTCGTTCACTTCGTACTAATGCACTTTGGAAAGTCATGAATACATTTTACCCCAGTTAAGGGTTAAATAGTAAGAGCTGGCTGGCTGGTTAGGCTTTCTAGCGTTGGGTGGCAACGAGTCCCATCATTATCGTCATCAATTCTAGAAACAGTTGTGGTCGTAGTTTCGCCGCGCATCTAAGCAACCTATCACTTCTCTCCACGCAATTAGTTTGAAAGCCGGAGGTGTTTTCATGCATAGGTAGCAAAACTTGGGCAGGCACACCTGGCGCAGCTCGTCTCTCTCAAGTTCAAACAACAACGCGTTGATTCAATCGGGAAACCCCTCCATCCTGGCTACTGGCTTCAGTCTAGGAAGCTCTCCGCCCAGCGATGCGGTGTCATCGCCGCATAGGCTGAATCCATAGCTATGGAGCCCATTCTACCCCAGTATGACAGATGGCAGTTGATTCTACAAGAAATGTTTCATCTTCTCAGATTTTTAAAAAATATCCTACTGGGTGTCTATATACCTTTCCCCCCAAAAAAGAAACCTTGTGGGTGAGCCTGTTTATTCGTTGGTGACCCGACTATACGACAAGTACTAATGGCTTACAGATTAGCAGTAAGCACTCGTAGAGAGACCTTACACAATGGCTGCCACTTTAAAAATTCACTCCCCGTCAATAGTAGTGTAGACTGGGATGGTTTGCCTTGTTAGAACAATCTGATTTACCCAGTGTAAATGAAGAAGAGACTCGTGGCAACGGAAATATAGTTCTACAGAAGGATGCTGAGGATACCATGGACCAAACATGTGAGCAACGATGAGGCTTTGGAGAGTATGTAAACAAGGACGAAGCTTATACTTAATATCAGGAAGAGGCAGCTGAAATTTCTGGGACACGTAATGAGAAAGAAGGGCTTGGAGAATCTGATACCCACAAGGCGGATAGAGGGAAAGTGAGACAAGGGAAAGCAACGCACAGCATACCTGGCGGGCTTAAACAAGTCGATCACGGAAAAGGGTTTGGGAGAAGTAGCAAAAGGACAAAACATGTTGAGCGCTGCAAGCGATAGGGAGAAGTGGAGAGCCATGATCGTCAACGTCCTGAAGGGACACGGCACATAAAAAACGAAGAATCGAACTCAGGAATGACGGTATGCGAAGTTATCGTGCTGTCAAGAGTTCCGAACTGCAGTCGGGCGCTGAGAACGAATGGAAAACGCCTCACAAGGCAACCGTGTTCGTTTACGTGAACATAGTTATTTTAACTATGAATCGAAAACCAGCTTCAAGAGGGATGAGTCGTGTCAGGCTACCTTGTCCTAGACACACCCATGCGTCTATGGGCAGGGGATATGGTGTGCCTCTTAGAACCTAATAGTTTATTTTCTTTCTATTAATATTTTCACTTTATTTGGATTAGTGATTTTTTTTCCTACTGTATTCGCATTTTATTTTACCATCATTGATTTTTTCCCACATTTTCCTTATTTTTTCTCATCATTTTTTCGTATTTTTTTTTCTTTCAATTGATCAATGATTTTTTTCTTTCTTTTATTCTTTCTTTCACATTTTTCAAGGATTATTCACTTCTTTTCCTTTTCTTCCGATGTGACTTTTTTTCTTTCCTTCATTCTTTTTTTCTTTCACATTTTTCTCTTCATCTTTTCCCTTTATTCGGATTATTTTTTCTTTCTTTCATTTCTCCTTTCTTTCACATTTTCCCCCTCTTTATTTTACTCTTCATCTTTTCTTTTTCTCCGGATTAAGTATTTTTTTTTTCTTTCATTCTTTCAAATTTTCCCAAGACTTTTTCTCTTCTTTTTTTCTATTCATATTTTTCCGTTCTACGTTTTTTTTTTTCATTCTTTCTTTCATTTATATTTTTTTAATATTTTTTCTTTTCATCTTTTCCCCTTTTTCGGATTATCTTTTTCTGTTTTTCATTCTTTTTTTATTTTATATTTTTCAATAATTTTTTCTCTTCATCTTTTCCCCTTTTTCGGATCATTTTCTTTTTTCATTCATTCTTTCTTTCTTTAACATTTTTGAAGACATTTTCTCTTCATTTTCTTCACCTTCTTCATGATTTTTTCTTTCTTTCTTTCTTTCTTTCTTTCTTTCTTTCTTTCTTTTATAGCTTTTTCACGTCTCTTTTTGATTTATTCTTTTGTTAGATCAATATTTTTCCCATTACTCACATTTTTCACTACTCACATTCTTTGTTTAACCATTTTTCCTTCTACTCTTTTCTTTCTACTCTTTTCCTTTCTTCGTCTTCTCACACTTAAATTTCTTTCTTTCATTTTTTGGAATTTTTCAAGATTTTTTTCTCTTTTTTTTCTATTCATATTTTCAGTTCTACGTATTTTTTTCATTTTTTCTTTCATTTATATTTTTTAATATTTTTTTCTTTTCATCTTTTCCCCTTTTTCGAATCATTTTTTTTTTTTCATTCATTCAATCTTTCTTTCACATTTTTCAATACATTTTCTCTTCATTTTTTTCCCCTTTTCGGTTATTGTTTTCTTTATTTCATTCATTCATTCATTCATTCTTTCTTTCTTTCTTTCTTTCTTTCTTTACCCTTTTGAGAGATTTTTCACGTCCCCTTTTAATTCATTCTTTTGTTAGATCAATATTTGTTTACTTTACTCATATTTTAACACCCTTTCATTCTTTGTTTAAAAGTTTTTCATCCTTTTTCCTTCTACTCTTCCTTCTACTCTTTTCCGTCTACTCTTTTCCTTCTACTCTTTCTTCTATTCTTTTCCTTTTACTCTTCCTTCTACTCTTTTCCTTCTACTCTTCCTTCTACTCTTTTCCGTCTACTCTTTTCCTTCTACTCTTCCTTCTATTCTTTTCCTTTTACTCTTCCTTCTACTCTTTTCCTTCTACTCTTCCTTCTACTCTTTTCCGTCTACTCTTTCTTCTATTCTTTTCCTTCTACTCTTCCTTCTACTCTTTTCCGTCTACTCTTTTCCTTCTACTCTTTCTTCTATTCTTTTCCTTCTACTCTTCCTTCTACTCTTTTCCGTCTACTCTTTTCCTTCTACTCTTCCTTCTATTCTTTTCCTTTTACTCTTCCTTCTACTCTCCTCCTTCTATTCTTTCCGTCTTTTCCTTTTCTTTCTTCTATTCTTTTCTTTTTACTCTTCCTTCTACTTTTTTTCCTTCTACTCTTCCTTCTACTCTTTTCCGTCTACTCTTTTCCTTCTACTCTTCCTTCTATTATTTTCCTTTTACTCTTCCTTCTCTTTCCTTCTACTCTTCCTTCTCTCTTTTCCGTCTACTCTTTCTTCTATTCTTTTCCTTCTACTCTTCCTTCTTCTTTTCTTTTCCATCTTTCTTTCTTCTATTCTTTTCTTCTCTCTTCCTTCTCTCTTTTCCGTCTACTCTTTTCCGTTCTTTTCCTCTTCTTCCTTCTATTCTTTTCCTTTTACTCTTCCTTCTACTCTTTTCCTTCTACTCCTCCTTCTACTCTTTTCCGTCTACTCTTTTCCTTCTACTCTTCCTTCTATTCTTTTCCTTTTACTCTTCCTTCTACTCTTTTCCTTCTACTCTTCCTTCTACTCTTTTCCGTCTACTCTTTTCCTTCTACTCTTCCTTCTATTCTTTTCCTTTTACTCTTCCTTCTCTCTTTTCCTTCTCTTCCTTCTCTCTTTTCCGTCTACTCTTTTCCTTCTATTCTTCCTTCTACTCTTCTTTCTACTCTTTTTTCTTTTCCTTTCTCTTTTCCTTCTACTCTTTTTTCTTTTTCCTTCTACTCTTTTCCTTCTACTCTTCCTTCTATACTTTTCCTTCTACTCTTTCTTCTACTCTTCCTTTTACTCTTTTCCTTCTACTCTTTTCCTTTTACTCTTCCTTCTACTCTTTTCCTTCTACTCTTTTCCTTCTACTCTTCCTTCTACTCTTTTCCTTCTACTCTTCTTTCTACTCTTTTCCTTCTACTCTTTTCCTTCTACTCTTTTCCTTCTACTCTTCCTTCTACTCTTTTCCTTCTACTCTTTTCCTTCTACTCTTCCTTCTACTCTTTTCCGTCTACTCTTTTCCTTCTACTCTTCCTTCTACTCTTCTTTCTACTCTTTTACTTCTACTCTTTTCCTTCTACTCTTTTCCTTCTACTCTTCCTTTTACTCTTTTCCTTCTACTCTTTTCCTTCTACTCTTCCTTCTATACTTTTCCTTCTACTCTTTCTTCTACTCTTCCTTTTACTCTTTTCCTTCTACTCTTTTCCTTTTACTCTTCCTTCTACTCTTTCCTTCTCTTTTTCCTTCTTCTTTCCTCTTTTCCTTCTACTCTTCCTTTACTCTTTTCCTTCTTTTTCCTTCTCTTTTCCTTCCTTCTACTCTTTTTTCTTTCCTTCTACTCTTCCTTCTCCTTTTCCGTCTCTTTTCCTTCTACTCTTTTCCTTCTCTCTTTCTACTCCTTCTACTCTTTCCCTTCTCCTTTTTTCTACTCTTCCTTTTTCTTTTCCTTCTACTCTTTTTCCTTCTACTCTTTTCCTTTCTCTTCCTTCTTCTTTTCCTTCTACTCTTTCTTCTACTCTTCCTTCTACTCTTTTCCTTCTACTCTTTTCCTTTTACTCTTCCTTCTACTCTTTTCCTTCTACTCTTTTCCTTCTACTCTTTTCCTTCTACTCTTCCTTCTACTCTTTTCCTTCTACTCTTTCCGTTCTACTCTATTCCTTTCTTCTTCCTCTCACACGTTTATTTCCTTTCGACTTTATTTTTTTTTATTTCTGATTCGCCATGTTGAGGGATCCATATATTCCTTTCATTTCCCTCATCCTGTTTAGTTCAACGCAACCGCTTCCTTCTTTGTAAGCAAACCAGGCAGGCTGTCTCAGTTTACGTGATTAAGCGGGCATCGCCTTAGCAAACAAGCTTACTCCATTTCTTCAGACCGACTTACCTACCTGCCAAACGTGTGTTGCATCTTACCTGCCTTCTACTTTCAAGTACCCGACTACTAAAACTCCTTCCCCCATGAAATTAGCTACGCCGATGACGTAAATAGACCGTCCTGAGACTGCGTTTCCCGCCAATTTCTACCGAACCTCATTCATTAAATTTACAACAATGAACATGGCTACGTTACGCACACGTGCCTTGAAGTATATATATATATATATATATATATATATATATATATATATATATATATATATATATATATATATATATATATATAGTCTATCTATCTATCTATCTATCTATCTATATCTATATATATATATATATATATATATATATATATATATATATATATATATAAAACCAGTTCCAGCGAAAAAAAAAAAAAAACAATTGTTTGTACAAGACAAAAAACTTAAACTATAACGGGTGGGAAAACAGAATCCTCTTTAAAGCCGCATAGAATATATAAATATATATATATATATATATCTATCTATCTATCTATCTATCTATCTATCTATCTGTTGTTTGTACCTCTCCGCCTATCCCATCTATCTATCTATCTATCTATCCTATCTATCTATCTATCTATCTATCTATCTATCTTTTGTTTGTACCTCTCCGCCTATCCCCATCTCTTCACATCTATCTATCTATCTATCTATCTATCTATCTATCTATCTATCTATCTATCTGTTGTTTGTACCTCTCCGCCTATCCCCATCTCTTCACATCTATCTATCTATCTATCTATCTATCTATCTATCTATCTATCTATCTCTTCCCTTTCTTAGGCCTCTCTCTCTATCCTTTCTATCTATCTATCTATCTATCTATCTATCTATCTATCTATCTATCTATCTGTTGTTTGTACCTCTCCGCTTATCCCCATCTCTTCACATCTATCTATCTATCTATCTATCTATCTATCTATCTATCTATCTATCTATCTATCTATCTCTTCCCTTTCTTGGGCCTCTCTCTCTATCCTTTCTATCTATCTATCTATCTATCTATCTATCTATCTTCATCTTTATCTCATCTTTGTTATTCTGTCTCTTTTTCTATAGTCATCTTTTCATATCTTCTCATCTGGCGGTATCTGTCTTTGTACGTACGAATATATTTTGGCCACGCATGTAACATACCCGTGCTCGCATAAACAAACCGCATTGTCTTCTCTGGCGTGTACGATTCGTTCTCATCGCCCGAGCGCTCGGCAGCATGATACTGTCATTCCTGGGTTCGATTCACACTGATTTATTCAGATCTTCACTCCCCGTGACACACTCATTCCGGATTGACTTCTTATATTCCCTGCTTTATTTAGAAGATATTGTCAAAAGGACCGGCTCTTTATCTTTTACTTCATGGTTCTCCACTATTTCCATTTACTCAAGGTCACTATCAGATTTTCCAATCCCTCTTTCCTCTTTCTTATGTAACCTTGAAACCTCAACTCTTACTGAAGTTAAGTCTCTTTTTTGTTTCCATTTTCTCTAAAACGTCATCGTCACTCATGTATTCGGTCAATGGTATTCTCAGTATCCTTCTGTAGATCCACATTTATGTTGCTTCAGGTCTCTTAACGCTCCAGAAAAATACCTGTCTACACTTGGCATGCTGTACAGCTGCGTCTAGGTTGGCGCTACCTAATTCTCTCTTTCATAGAGGTCAGAGATATTTACCCGCCCTTGTGGGTGATGAACTATTTTCCATTCTACAACCCCTTTCTTACTGGCGCAAAGTCGTCATCCTCTCGCTACTCTACCGTTATTTCTATGGGAAATCTGGCGTGCTACATTCTTTATTTCCACCAGTTCAGGCGCTCACAGCCAAGAACCGTCATGTCATATGCACAAGGGTGAACCATCCTCGTTCTTTTCGTATTCCATTAGTAAGGAAGAAGTTTTATTCGAACAGTTTCTTCTTTTATGTACAAGACTCACAACAGGATGTTTTCTCGAAGACTGCAGTTAGTTCAGTGCCATACGCGATATATGCTTGGACGATCATCTATCTTTCGATTCATGATGGGCGAAACAGAATATTTTCCTGCAGTAGGCTGCCGTTTCTTTCTGCGGTAGTCTGGTTGCCAACCAAGGCAATTGGACCCAGTCTGTTTTGATATTTGATGGAGGAAGAGAAGTGATGGATTTCCCAATGATATTTGTGCGTTAAATGAACGTGAAGAGACTGACTAGAATTCGAACTCGGCTCTACGATTACTTATTCCGATCCGATATCCATTAAAACAACCTTGATTTGATACACTCTACCTTGAGTGGCTCTTGCGTGAACATTTATGCAATATTAGTTGAAGTTTGAATCATCCCCATTCCCTTCGTATTCCATTAGTGAGGTGAAATTCCATTCAGACAGGTTCTTCCCAAGAACTTCTAATTTGTGGAACAGACTCCCGGGGGTATGCTTTCCCAATCACTACAATCTTGACCGCTTAAAGTTTATTGATCTAAGGGTTCTCGTTATAATGATTTATAGAACAATTCAAATGGCCCATCTGAGGAATTAAGTCAACTGGATACAGGCCGTAGAAAGCAGCGATCAAAATAACAAAGATGTGGATTCTCGTTATAATGATTCATAGAACAATTCAAATGGCCCATCTGAGGAATTAAGTCAATTGGATACAGGCCGTAGAAAGCAGCGATCAAAATAACAAAGATGTGGATTCTCGTTATAATGATTCATAGAACAATTCAAATGGCCCATCTGAGGAATTAAGTCAATTGGATACAGGCCGGAGAAAGCAGCGATCAAAATAACAAAGATGTGGATTCTCGTCAGCACAATTCATAGAGCAATGAAGGTAGCCGGGTCTCTGAATTTCAGTCCCTACTATGCAGGCCGGAGGACGCAGCGACCGAAACACAGTGATCAAAACAACGACGAATAATTCAAGGAACAGTGAAAATTGCTCACTCGCAGACCCCCAGACCCCCAGACCCTACAAAAATAGCTGGAGAACGCACCGGCCTACAATTACGAAGCAAAACACGCACCCTTAAAAGAACTGGGTTACACTACTCTGTGAAAGAATGTTTTTATCTCAGAACTGCAGACAACACATCTTTTAGGGTTTTTTTTTCTGAATGTGAGGTGGGGTAAGCTTAATAAACTGATAAACATTCTTGCTGTTAGGACTGGGGTGCGTCTTCTGCTTCCACCCGGAGGCCTTCCCCCCTCATCCGCAATTTTTGTTTTTTTGCGCGCAGAAATTCATGCCTGTAGCTGTAGGCATGTGTAAAAACAAACCCACACTTGCAACTTAATATCCTTTCATATATATATATATATATATATATATATTGTCTGAGTCATAAATAATTTCCGTTTTGCTTTATCAAAATTAGTCTTCAATAAATAAGGTAAAATTACATTTTATTCAATTATATATTGACCGTTATTTGAAATTTGTTGCTACATGTCAGGTAAGCAGCTCTTCGATAACTTTTGAATAAAATTCTTCAGGTTTTGATGTGAAAAGCTTCTTGAATCTGTTTTTTCCTTAGAGAAAGTTGTCCTTGTCGAAACCTTTAGCAGTCCTTTTTTTTTTTCGTCTTCTTTTACAATTTTCTACAGAAGTTCCTGTAGTTAACTTTCTGTAACAGCTTCATACGCGCTTGGGCAATCATGTTCCTGCTGATTTATGTTTGATTAGACAGAGATTTTTCCTTCTGCAGTAGACTGCTTGCCAACTAAGGCACAAGGACCCAGTCTGTTCTGCTATTCAACCCACAGACGGATTCATATTTTTTCCAATGATATCTGCAATTAAGCATCGAAATCGACTGGAATTTGAACTACTTCTAAAACGAGACTGTCAACAGCTTAAAACATGTCACCTTCTGTCTTTTTATGTTCCGTGTCCTTTCAGGACGTAGGCGATCATAGCCCTCCACGTCCCCCTATCTCTTGTGGCTCTCAACAGGTGTTGTGTTTCTGCCAACTCCCCCAGACAACGTTCTGTCATTCACTTGCTTAAGCCCGCCACGTATGTCATGGGCTGCTTTTCCCCCACCGTCTCTTTTCCCCTCTATTCGTCCCGTGAGTATCAGATTCTCCAAGCCCTCCTTTCTCATTACGTGTCCCAGAAATTTCATCTGCCTCTTCATTATGTTAAGCATAAGCATCCTCCTTGTTTGCATCCTCTCCAAGACCTCATCGTTGCTCATATACTCGGTCCTCAACATCCTTCTGTAGAACCACATCTCGAGTCTCTTCTTCATCCTTGAGGATACCGTTTAACATTCGCTGCCGTATAGGAGGACATATGTCACGTAGCAGCTCAGTACTCTTTTCTAGGTCTTTTTTCTGTTTTTTGGTTCTTTCAATAAATTTTAAATCAAGTCTAATGTTTTTTTTGTTGTTCAAGGTAGAGAGTGTAAGAAAAGTTAAGTAAAATTCGGTTATATAAGAGATATAACAATTAACCCTAAACCTGAAGAGGTTAAGATTGTTCTGATTGGGAAAACATTTGTTCCACGCAGCAGATTGGGAAGAAGCTGTCCGAATTAAACTTTTATATTTTATAATCGCAAAAGTTTGGTGTATGCACAGACAGGAAACGCTGAAAACGTTGGAGCTCTGCAATCTTAAATTTTGACATTTTTTTTTTTTTTTTTTTAAAGATGTGTCTGGGTGTTGGTCTAGCCCAGCGCATCTTAAATTTATGTGTCGCGACCTCATCGCGAAGCGAAATGATGGGGTCGCAAAAATTAAATTCAAACCACTGAATTTCAGTTTATATGTTATTTCACAAATAAACACCCAATATTTAACGTGAGGCGCTACGCAAGCGGTGTGGTAATAAAAGTCGCCTAGTACAGTGACAACAGATGCATTTTCTGTGGAGTTGGTTAATACCTGAGGTCGCGAAAATCTCATGAAAAATGAGGTCATAAATAAAAAAAAGGTTTAAGAAGCGCTGCTCTCGCGAATTTCGTTCCGTTTCTTTTTAGTTTATGTACACACACACACACACACACACACACACACACACACACACACACACACACACACACACATATATATATATATATATATATATATATATAAACAATAAGCTAAAACCTAAAGAAGGAGTTTTATCCCTCGCCTGTAATAATTGTCACAAAAAGTACATAGGAGAAACCTCAAGAAACCAAAGTCAAAGATTAGATGGACATTTTACAAAATAATACGTCAAATGCTTTCGTCGCACAACGTAAAGAGACTGACCATACTGTTAATCTAATAAATTTTACACTGATCAAAGGAGAAAATTCACTACGACGTCTATATATATATATATATATATATATATATATATATGTGTGTGTGTGTGTGTGTGTGTGTTCGAACAAGTCTTTTCCTTTTGGGATACAGAGTGTGTAAAACTGTACAAGTGTTCTATATTTCTGAGCGCTTTCGGCTATAATTTTAGGCATTATGAAGAAGGATTTCATTTTTGTTTCTAATTGGGCCTATGGGTAGTGTGTATGTTTTTAGAGTTATAGGGATGTGTTATTTTTCGAACACAGTTAGTACATTGTGGCCGTGTTCGTAGTTAATATTATTAAGTGTTGGTTTTTTATTTTTTATTATTTTTTATTATATATATATATATGTGTGTGTGTGTGTCTCTGTATGTATCTGAGTGCAATTATAACTCACGAAGACACATACACATAAAGAAATACACTACTCCAATTGACCCGAATAAAAAATCAAATTAATTATCTATTATAAAAAATTAAGACAGCTAACCTTATGCTCAAAAATAACAACACACCAGTTAAGTCAAAATTACAAAGAACGAACATTAGTTAAATTAGTTCAAATGCCCTTTAAGGAACTGTTTTCCTGATCAAACCGGACTCATAAATAATTACATCGGTTACACAACAACATGCTTATCCAGACGTCTTACATTACACCTATCTGATCACAGCTCCATTAGAACCCATTTAAACACAAACACAAATTTACCAGACTCCATTAGAAACATACTAGTAGAAAACACAAATATAGTAACCTCATCCACTTGTAGAAAACCGTATTCAGAAATTAAAAACATCTCTACAACACACTAAAACATTCACTTAATGCACACACTCAATTAAGCCGAAAAATTGAATCAT